ATCCCAAGGACAGGCAAACACATCTAGAAGAATGGTAAGAAGAAACTGGCAGAATTTTATGGAGAAAATGGAGACTTGTGACAGTGAGGGAAATAATGAAATAATTTTTGTTGCATTGGTTGGCCAATATTTTGGAATGACTGTAGGAAAAGAAAAGGTAGGATCAGTGAATTTGAACCACTTTTTTTTTTTTTAAGATTTTATTTATTATTGAGAGAGAGAGAGACTGGCAGAGACAAGAGAAGCAGGCTCCATGCAGCGAGCCCGATGTGGGACTCGATTCCGGGACCTTGGGATCACGCCCTGAGCTAGGCAGGGGCAGGTGTTCAACCACTGAGCCACACAGGCATACCAGTTTGAGCCACTTTTACACTCTGACAGTTTGGTGATGCCAATATATAACATAATCCAGCTAGGGAGAAGCCAGGAGTAGAATCTAGGAAAATGTAAGAATTGAGGATTTGGATCTATGGTGAAAGACCTACCCAAAACCAAACAAGACTAAAACTAGCAAGAGTCAGCATTTGAAGGAGCAGGAGAGTGAATCGCTGTAGGTCAGGAATGTTTTGCTCTCTAGTCTGGCTGCTTCCCTGCAGGGCCCTGATGGCATTTTCAGCTTACCCTGGGACACAGGTCTGGGATTTGCTTACCACTAGCAGGATATACAGACAGGTGCTCTTAGAACACTGACCACTCTCCTTTTCCCTATTAGGCTGGTTTCCCAAGAAGTCAAGGTTATTATGGGCTTTGTACTCATGCCCTCTATTCCAGGAGCTATGTTTGAGAGGCCTGGGATTGAGTAGGATTCCTGTGTTTGAGAATGGTGGTAAAGTTGGTGAATCTTAATGGTGGGAGGTAACTAACTGGTAGCTTTTGAGGCTAATTTGTTTACTGAGGAACTTACCCACCATTCAGCTTACAAGTGGACTAAATTAATGCAGATTAGTTTAATTAACAGACTGAACTAATGGAACAGGTCTACTTTTGGCAGAGGTAAAGAGAAGGAGATAAATGTTTTTCTCTTCCGGTAACTGCAAATACCAAGGCAATTTACATAACATGCAGTTAATCCTAAAAGTCAGTTCACAGTATGGCTGTAGACATAGATTGGTCTTTGGTAGTAGAGTAGAAGTGAACATTGCCTTGTTTTCTAATTTACGGGGGAAATGGGTAAGTAACATGAAGGTATGACTAGATGACCCGAAAATAGAGTTCATTGTTACTGTCTTATACCAGTTTGGCTCATTTGTCTTTCTTTTTATTGTCATACCAACTGGTTTCTTAATGACAGTGTTCATTAACTTAGGTCCTGTCATAGAGACTACTCAAGTCCATCTATATCCAGGAAGGCATAAGTCTGGGCTGCAGAGGGACTATCGAGGGATATACAGCATAAAGTTTCCATTTGGTAGGGCATTTTCTCCCGAGTGACATCCTCCTACCTTCTGACTGGTTCAGTTCCTCAACTGCGATTCCTGTGGGAGTGCTGAGTAAATTTGGCTGCATGGTTGTCCAGTTCTGTACAATAAAAAAGTGGGTAGAACAAGTGGCATCTTCTCTTTCCTCTAAAAACACTTCCTTTAATTGGATCCCAGTGTTAAGTATGGATGATGGTGTCTGTAATACCCTACGTGCTCTGTTGGTCCCAAGGAATGTGGCTGTCCTAGGCTTCCTGTAATTTGCAGTATGGGAACATGGACCTTTCTTTGAGGAATATGTCAACTGACCCTTATTCTGGTCTTTCAGTCTCTTCAGCATGAGGTAAGGTCAACCTTAAGGCAGCAGCAGGTATTAGCTCTTGGTAATAATGTGAGGCAAAGGTTCACTCCCATTCCTGCTGCATTAATCCCCACTCATCTCCCAGTTATCAGATGTGAGCCTGAAAGACCTTTGTTTTATGTCCACATTATATTCCTGCACATATCATTTGTTTTAACACTTTATCCTGGATTTTTCTTGGAAGGAAGCCCATTTTTGGTGGGCTTCTTTATAGGACCAGTAGTATTTACCCATCTCCCTGTGCCTTTAAAAATTCATGTAAATTCATGATGGGAGAGGAAGGAGGAAAAGAACCAGACATGAGAGCAAACTTTCCTTACTTCTCTATTCTGTCACTGCTTCCCCCATTTTCCAGAGCCTGGGATCTTTAGGTTGGTTCCTGGCTCTGTCCAGGCCTCCACTGTGGCATCTGACCCACTGGCCTGCACGTGCCCATTTCCAAAGCAGCTCGTGCTGGTGAAACTTCCTTGGATCCTCTTGTTTTTCTGCAATTTGATGAAACATCTTACCATATGAATCAGTGAAAGCACCCCCATTTTTCAGTCCTCTGAAGAGAGTTTCTTCATAGAACAGAATCATTAATTGGGATTTTAGAAACTTGGGTGATATTTTAGGGTAAAAAAAATTATCTAAGTTCTGCCACTTACTATGTCACAGGTAGGAAAAGAAAGGAATGGAATTATCAAGTACAAGCATACCTTGGAGATAGTGGGGTTCAGGTCCAGACCACCACAATAAAGCAAATATTGCAATAAAATGAGTTAAGTGAATTCTTTTGGTTTCCCAGTGAATATAAAGTTATGTTTATACTACACTGTGGTTTACTAAGTGTGCAATAGCATTATGTCAAAAACCAGTTTACATACCTTAATTTTAGAAAATACTTATTTCTAAAAATGCTAACTACCATCTGAGCTTCCAGAGACATGCTTTGATATTGGTGGCTGCTGACCAGTCAGGGTGGTGGCTGCATCTGTGGCAGTTTCTTGAAAGAAGACATCAGTGATGCTTGCTGCACCGAATGATACTTCCTTTCATGAATGATCTTGATACTTCCTTTCATGAATGATTTCTCTGTAGCATGAATGCTGGGTGATAGCATTTTGCCCACAGAACTTCTTTCAAAATTAGAGTCCATCTTTTCAGCCCCTGCTGCTGCTCGATCAACTAAGTTTATAGAATACTGTAAATCCTTTGTTGTCATTTCAACAATCTTCACAGCATCTTCACCAGGATTGTAGATTCCATCTCAAGAGAGGACTTTCCTTGCTCATCCATTAGAGGAACTCCCCATCTGTTCAGGTTTTATCATGAGCTTGCAGCAGTTCAGCCACATCCTCAGGCTCCTCTCCTAATTCTCGTTCTTTTGCTGTTTCCACCACATCTTCAGGGACTTCCTCCACTGAAGTCTGGAACCCCTCCAAGTCATCTGTGAGGGCTGGAATCAACTTCTTCCAGATGCCTGTTAATGTTGATCACTTGACCTCTTCCCATGAATCACAAATGTTTTTAGTGGAATCTGGAGTGGTAAATCCTTTCCAGAATTTCCACTGACTTTACCCAGATCCATCGGAGGAATCCTTATCTTTTTACAACTCTAGCCTTACAAAATGTGTTTCTTAAATAATGAGACTTGAAATTACTTCTTGATCCATAGACTAGTATTGATGTATTAGCATATGATTGTACCTCTCGTTGTACATCTCCATCAGAGCTCTTGGGTTGACCAGGTGCATTGTCAATGAGCAGTAGTATTTTGAAAGGAATCTTTTTTTTTTTTTAAGATTTTATTTATTTATGAGAGATACAGAGAAAGAGGCAGAGACACAGGCAGAGAGAGAGAAGCAGGCTCCAGGCAGGGAGCCTGACATGGGACTCGATCCCGGGTCTCCAGCATCACGCCCTGGGCCGAAGGCAGGCACCACCCAGGTGTCCCTAAAGCAGGTGTTTTACTCTAAATATTGATCGATCTTGAAAATGAATAGTTTTGTTTTTCTCAAATGTCATTTATTGGAAAATACAATTCCAGAGAAAGTAGCAGATATAAGGATGTCTGGGAAGTGGGTACAGTACACAGACCTCTTTAAATCAGGGGCACAGAAGGTCAAAATAAAATGAGCTACAGGCAAAAAGCCAGTAACACAACTATGGTCCATTCATCTGGAGAAGTTCCACTGAAGGTCTCAACAGTGGGTTTAAACTATTCAGTAAACCATGGTATAAACAGACATGATGTCATCCAGGTTTTGTTGTTCCATTTGTAGAGCACAGGCTAAGTAGATTTAACATAATTTTCAAGAGCCCTAGGATTTTCAGAATCCTAATGAGCATTGGCTTTAACCTACAGTCACCAGCTGCATTAGCCCCTAACAAGAGGGCCAGCCTGTCCTCTGGAGCTTTGAAGCCAGGCATTGACATCTCCTCTGTAGCTGTGAAAGTCCTAGATGATATCATCTAATATAAGAATGTTTTGTCTGCATTGAAAATCTGTTTAGTGTAGTCACCTTTATTAATCTCAGATCTTCTGGATCACTTGCTGCAGCTTCTCTGTCAGCACTTGCTGCTCTGCCTTGTACTTTGATGTCATGGAGACGGCTTCTCTCCTTAAACCTCATGACCCACCCTCTGCTTACAGCTTCAGACCTTTCTCCTGCAGCTTCCTCACCTCTCTCAGCTTTCATGGAATTGAAGAGTCACGGCCTTGCTCTGGGCTTGGCTTAAGGGAATATTATGACTGGTTTGATCTTCTATCCAGACCACTCAAACCTTATCCATGTCAGCAACAAGGCTATTTTGCTTAGCATTTGTGTGTTCACTGGGTTAGTACTTTCAATTTCCTTCAAGAACTTTTTCTTTGTGTTCACAACTTGTCTAACTGGTTGGCATATGATGCCTAGCTTCTGGCCTAAGTTTTCACATACCTTCCTCATTAAGCTTAATCATTTCAAGCTTTTGATTTAAAATGAGAGATATGCGGCTCTTCCTTTCACTTGAACACTTCTAAAGGCCATTGTAGGGTTATTGTTTGGCCTAATTTCAATATTGTCATAGCCCAGGGAATAGGGCTACACACTACACACTAGGACTAAATAAAGATTGGCAGCTAGGCCTCAGATGCTAAAGAGGACCAAATTAGGAAGGGGATCTCCCAGGAAATAACAGGCCACATTTTTTACAAAGTGGAAATACTTCAATAAATACAACAAAGTCAGGGCCTAACACCCAGGGCCCCGTAATAGGAGTGATGCCTCTACTAGAAGACACAGGGGAGGGAGAGAGCTAGGGGACCAGCCAGTCAGTCTTGCTTGACATAGAGCTGCCACAAACCTTCAGTTTGTAAAACGGTAGTATTTGCAAATTGAAATTAAGTACAACAAAATGAGACATATGTATACCTGTTTTGTCCTAGGTACTCACAATGTATTTTGTCAACTAAAGTGACTTTATAAGTAGGTGACATCATTACAGTTTTACTTAAGAGAAATCTGATGCTTGGGCATGATCAAATAAATTTTGCCATTTGGAAACAAGCGTTTTAATGCAAATAAAGTAATGCATTCTGACAAGTCTGTCATAGCACCTAAATTTTTGATCCCTCTCTAAGGCCCTGCCGTGTGAACAAAGCTTTCTGCAATTTGCAGCTACTCTACCTTTGCAATCCTGTCTCTCATTGTATACCAGACTGATAACTTGTCATCATCTGGTTTTTGGTTTATGCTACTTCCCTCTCCAGGAGCTCCTATGCACCTTTCAAATTCTACCTATCTGTAAAGTCCAGTTCATTATTTCATTCAACAAATCTTTAAATTCATACCCATTGCCAGATGCTGTGCTAGGTTAAAGTCAGTGGAGGAAGAGCGAGTTCACTCTCAGCTATGATGGAGGGGCTGAAATCACACTTAGCCTCCTCTCATCAACCATCATAAAAGCTAGAGCAATTATATAAAACAAAGTCCAGTGCCTGGGTCCTTGGGAGAAGGAATTCACAGAAAGTGAGCCCCTATCTTCACCCTAGCAGCATTTTTCAAATTCTTACACAGGGAAAGGGAGGCCAAGCAGAGTAGAAGTGTGTCTGGGAAGAAAAAAATGGAGAAGCAGAGTTCAGGGCTACTAATCTGGCTGGGATTTGGGCACCAAAGTATCAGCGAGGGGAGTGTTTGCAGAGAAGGATCTCCCCAAAGTCTGCAAAGCCGTTTCCTTTGGGTTGCTGGCCAACTCCTGTGCTGCTTGTGTATGGAGGATGGCTTGAGGCTTAGCGGAGAAGCCGAGTGGGGATTTCAGAAGTGGGGTGCTGTCGGGGGCAGGGGGTTTAGGCCCAGCGGACATGAAGAGGCTTGTGAAGTCCTGGTGCTGCAGTGAGACCCCAGGAAAGTCACAGCCAAGGAATAAAGACAGTATGCGAGGAGTAAGGACAGAGCTGAAACACACCTACTTTCTGCTTTTCTGCCAATTTAATTTTATTGGGGAAATGCTTCCCAAGAGAAAATCCTCAGGAGAGCAAGCAGCTGTGAGAGCGTGTGCCGAGGAAGGCCTGAGGTGGTCAGACGGGCGTGGTGCTGAGTGGACCAAGCAGGTGCTGAGTGGAGACAAGGATTTCAGAGCAGTTTCTCCACCCTCGGAGTCCTTCTAGGTCATCAGCTGTCTCGACCTCCCAGGCCATGGGAAGGTCCTCATGCTTGAGGATTTGCTGAGTCCACTTAGAGATCCGGAATTCTCTTCCTGCCACTCTTGTCTGGGTCAGTATGACGTTGGCTGCTGTGTGATCACACCTCACCAGCAAGTGCTACCAGTTTTAGGTTAGACTATACGATGTCTCCTAATGTCAAAATATCCTCTAGGCCCCCAAGTTTTCCCATTCATTGTTAAATTTTATATACCAGTTTTCTTAAGTTGAGGACTGCTTTTATTAACATGACAGCATGTGTTTCATTAATAAGCTGTTCTGTTAGCTGAAGATTAGATCACTTATTGCTCAGTTTTGAAGTCTTCCCACCCGCAAACCCTTGGGTTTGTGGAGAAGTTTAGATGAGAAGCTTTTCCCATGGAGGTTTTCAGCTTCCTTAGTTCTGGGCGGAGTTAGTATGGTCTTTCCCCTGAAGCCGCTGACCAGCCAAAGGGTATCTGATTACTCGTTTTGTCACTGAGTCACTGATTTCTGAGGAGATGAACTGGGGTGTCTTCCAAGTGGATAAAGACAGGGAAGTTTCATTACCCACACAATCAGGTATTGGGAAATTAAGCAAAACTCTCTTGTATACATATTGACATCTGAATGTGCAGCCTATTACAGCTCTAAAATGTGGTGGTGGTGGTGGTGGGAGGGATATATGCTTATTAACCCATCTGGCTCTTTTAGTAGAGAAGTGGTCAGAAGGAACGACACAAGAGAAGAAACCAGAATGTATGGAAGAACAGGTAGAAACATCTGTAGTTTCCCAAGAACCTACACGGATGGAGAAATCTACGGACACAGAGGAGGACAATATAGCTGGACCACTGTTTATGAACAAAACCACTCAGTTCCCATCAGTTCACGCAGAGGTGCTCCTGGAGCCCGAGGAGACCCCCGAAGCAGCCTGCGGTGGCAGCCCGAAACCATCTACCCCTAAGGCTGTGACCCCACCCTCCTCACCATCTCCAGCAGCTGTCTCACAAGAGTTTGCTTATGTGCCAGCTGACCCAGCTCAGTTTGCTGCTCAGATGTTAGGTAATGTTTCATCTATTCATTCTGATCAGTCTGACATTTTAATGGTGGATGTGGCAACAAGTATGCCTGTTTTTTCTGAGGAGGTGCTGAGCTCAGAGGCTGCCGAAGATGCCAAGGTGGCCATTCCCACTGTGTATTCCGCAGAGGCTGTAGCCCTGCAGGTTCTGAGCCAAACATCTGTCCATGTAGATTTGGGTCCTAAACCTAAAGACGATGAAGCTGAACCAACAACAGCTTCCTCCTTCCCCTTGCAGGATGAACAAGACCCTCCTGCTTACGATCAAGCTCCCGAGGTCCCTTTGCAGGCTGATATTGAGGTCACATCATTCGTTCACGTTTCATCCATCTATAACAATGAGCCTGTGACTGAAGAAGTTACTTATGTCGAGCAAATACCAGAACACATAGTTATCCCTTTTACTGATCACGTTGCTTCCCTTAAAGAAAATGAGCCACCAGATAGTCCCATACCTGTAGCACGCGACACAGGCATGTCTGAAAAAACCATAGGTTCCGTAAGTCTTGCACAGTTGGAGGTGGAATCACACTATTCCTCAGTACATATGGAGGCAGAAGCATCAGTTCTGTTCTCTGACACCTCTTTGAAAGGTCAGCCTGCACAATTCCTGGATGCAGGGGGCTCCACCAAAGCAGTCGGCTCTGAAAAACCGCTGCATCTTGAAGTGGAGTTCACTGCCCTAGTTCCTGGCAACTCGGGGCAGGAGGAGTCCCAGGGAAGCTCTGCAGCCCAGGAGATGGAGGTCAAACTCGTGCTCTCTGGGGAAGCTGCTACAGCAGTGCTCTCAGCTGCATCTGTAAGGGCAGCTGGTGGTAGCCCCACTCCTGTTCCAGAAGGTCTTACTGAACCTGAGCTCGAACCAGAACTGGAAGCAGCACTTGAACAAGGTTTGATGAAGCCAGGTAAGAAAATCCTGGTAAGAAAATGTTTACAAAATAACAAATTCCATTTTCAGGTGACCTCTATATTTCAGGTAACCACTGAGGTTCAAGGCTCTCTACAAGTTGGTCAAAAGGCTTAATTCACAATAGTTTTTAAAATGGCAAACCTATTTAAAGGCTTTGTTGTAGTTGAGATTTTACTTTTAGGAGAGGAGTGATTTTAAAGCGACAGCACCAAAGCCTGGCTTCAAAGCTGGGTCACCTATCACTTTCGGACATACCACCTGGAGTGAAAAAACCTTAAGCGCCTGCTGTCAGGCGCAAAATCTGTGATCCGAATATTCCGCTGTGAACGCCAGTCGGGGGGTGTTGGTTTGAAATCAGTCACTTGTGAGTGTAAAATCCAACCACACAACGCCATCCGCAGAGACATGGTGGTGTGTCGCCCCTGCTTTCGCATTGCAGCTGGAGAGCTCTGCAACTGGGTGTGGGGAGCTGGTCAGGGCCCTGGCTCCTGGCCTGGGGGAGAGCTCCTGCGGCTGAGGGGGCAGCTTCATAGCTGGGTGGACTGGACGGGTTGGCTGCACTTCTGTCACATGGGTGAGCATTGGCATGGCAGCAGCAGGAAGGCCAGCCAGGCACCAGAGCGGCCGAGGGGACTAGTCTCCACTGCTGGCCGGGCTGCTGGTATTGCCAGGGCTTGCCCATGACATAGACCTGGCCTGATCTCTCCCTCCATCTAATTAAGGAGTCTGATCTGCCCCCCTGCCCCTGCCCCTGCCTCTTGAGGGCTAGATGGAGCCAACCTCCCCCATTCCTTTTGCAGAAACACTCTCAACTTGGACTCTTCCCAGAGCCAGAATGGTCAAGTGTTACCAGAGCAGGTGTTTTGGGATCAAATTCTGCCTGGCAGTGTGATGGGGTTCTGCACAACTGAAAAGGCCTAGGGCAGCGTTGGGAGCTAGTGTGCGGGACGGGCACGACACTTGTGGCGAAGTGGCAGTGGCATCCCGAGTTCTGGCTCCTCAGCGCCTCGCCTTTTTTCTAAAGCACTACGTGGAGATTTCAAATAGATGGTTTGGCTTGTTCTGTTTTCTAACTGGCTTGTGGAAGGCTCAATTGATGGTATCTGAAGCTACTGAAAACTTCCCATTAATCATGTGCATAGTGTTCTGTTCTTTTCTGGGGAAGAAAAGCTGCACCAGGGATACTTGGCCCAGCGTTCAAAAGGTGAACTCAGCTCAATTTGAGCCAAGTGCAGCTTCTCCTCCATCCCATCTTCTGGGACTCGGTGCTCCAAGACAGCCTTCATTAGGCAGGTCAGACTTGCCATCATAGCTTCCTTGGTGTTATGTAGAAGGATGGCACACTAGGCCTCTTTTTTCTTAACCCCTTGGGGACCAACCAGCCTTGTACTGCCACCCACGACCTATGATTTCAAGTTTTTCCTAAAGGGGATGCTCTCTGGGGTTCTGAGTCCTGGAGTATGCGATGTTCTGTGTGTGGTGACAAATTAACATGAGATTATGGGGCCTGTGAAGGGCCAGAGATAACGGACAGATGTGACCAAAAAGGATGCCCTGTACAGACTTCTCTAGTAAAGGAAAAGTCACCGTGCAGATGTATTAACACTTTTTCAGTGGCTTCACACACACTTCAATTGGATCTTTTGGTAAAGCCCCAACTGTGGATCCTCCACGTCCTGCATGTGGGCGCCCCTGGGACCGGCAGCTTCGGATGACACTGCTGCTTCAGCCACAACTCCAGTGCCCCTGCCACCTGCTAGCACGACACTGTTCTCGCTTTCCAGCAGTAGACAGCCTCACTTCTTTCACATTACCAAACAGGATTTAGCCCTCTCTCTAGCATGCTTTATGGCACATGTTACTACCACAGCCATTTGTTTATATGTAAAGAAAACTTACAAAGACATTTCTGTGCATAGTGCCTGATACAGAGACCGACCTTTAATGCCTGCAAATTTTGTTTTGTTTTTTTATAGCCATAGCAGCAAGCGAAGCAGGACAACCACCACCATACTCTAACATGTGGACCCTTTATTGTCTAACTGATATGAAACAACAGAGTCGCCCATCACCGCCACCTGCACCTGGGCCTTTCCCCCAAGCAACCCTCTATTTATCTAATCCTAAGGATCCACAGTTTCTGCAGCAGCCACCAAAAGTTACTTCTCCAACTTACGTGATGATGGATGACAGCAAGAAGACCAGTGCCCCACCTTTTATTTTAGTAGGCTCGAATGTTCAGGAAGCCCAGGATTGGAAACCTCTTCCTGGACATGCTGTTGTTTCTCAGTCAGATGCCTTGAAGAGATACGCTGCAATACAAGTACCCATTGCTGTTCCTGCAGATCAGAAATTCCAGAAACATAGCCCAAACCCCCAGAATGGTAGTCCTCCTACAAGTGGACAAGATGTCCCCAGGCCACAAAGCCCAGTTTTTCTTTCTGTTGCATTCCCAGTAGAAGATGTAGCCAAAAAAGGTTCAGGATCTGGTGACAAATGTACTCCCTTTGGAAGTTACGGTATTGCTGGAGAAATAACCGTGACTACTGCCCATGTTCGCAGAGCAGAAACTTAAAACTGGTAGGTAAATTTTCCTACCATAACATGTGGGCCTTAACACACTAGTAGTTTGATTTGTTGACTGGGAGATAGAGGTATTTACAGAAATTGAACGGAGATGTGCAAGGAGATAGGGTATACTCAAATTTGATGTGGTTATCCTCTCCAAGTTCATTACCCCCAATTACTAAGAAATGCACAGCAGGTGTACTGCACCAGGACGACTCACACCAAGGACTTGGTGCCTGAGACATGAATCCATCCACTCAATCACCTTTGAATACCTGGTTCTTCACCTAGCCCCCCGGGAAGGTGCTAAAAAGGGATGGCTTTATAAGAAAGACAGACCTTCTGTAGGAACTTTATAAGTTGACTGGCATGTTAAGGGGTGGCTAGGAGCAGAAGCCAGACGTGAGTACTGGGGCCAAGTGGAGAGAAAGGTGAGAGGTTAGAGATGTGGGGGAGTGCCCCCCCCCATCACGTAGCATCTGTTTCCTCTTGAGAGGGAGGAGTTACTATAGGATGGGCAGGTTGAAAACACCCACAACTGGGATTAACTGGATCAGACCATTTTCTCTCACAAATTACCCACCCAGTACTTCAGGCCCTATCCCGTGTGTGGGCAGTGAGGAAAACAAGATGCTGACACAGGCCCTCCTTTAGAGGGTGTTCAGGCCCAGAGGTCAACTGACCCCTGAGTCCCAGGAAGGACCCAGCCCCACAGGGAGCCCACAGAGTAGGACTACTGAGCCACAGCAGGGAGGCCAAGATGAGATGGGTGGGGAGGAGCTGGGAACAGCACCCAGGAGGATGTGTGGGTGCAGCAAAGAGGGGACCGTATGTAGCCTCAGGAGATACACTGGGGGTGGAAAGCACAGCAGGAAGCCAGAAGAAGGACTGCCCTGGAAGGCAGGAGGAGGTCACCAGAGGAAGCAGGAAAAGGAGTTAAGCAGGTATAATGCAAATGTCAAGCTGAACATCTGATGGCCAAAGCTAGATTTCCTCCACGGGCAGGCTCAAGCACCACAGTGACGGTAGCTGAGGAGGTAACTCAGTTATCCAGTGTCGGGTCTGTGCCCCTCCTACTTGCCAGGAGGTGGAATTGTCAAAATGGCTGTTTCCAGCGTGAAATGCTGGGGTATTTCATGCAAAGGTGCAGCTAAATTGATGAGCATTTAGTAACGGGAGGGTAGACCTCGCATTTCTGATCTGCCCCTCATTTTACACGTTCCCCTCGTTTTACACGTTCAGTCTCGTGATTAAACAATTCACTATTTACATTCCTAACAGATGCTGAAACCACCACCGTCTGAGCCAACGTTCAAGGTGGAGTCTGCCACCCGAACGTACTTTGTCAATAAACTTCATGCAAGCATAAAACCTTGTGCTCTTATTTTCTAACTTAGGAAATCTAACCGATTACACAGGCGGCCTTCAATCTTTTCAGACTCATGTAGCCTTTTCCAACTCTGCAGGTGCTGCAGGAGAAAAACTCCCACTTTCTAGCAATTGACTCGGCTTCCAGGCGGGTATTTCTGCCTGGCGACTCTGGGTTTGCACTTCCCCCAGGCAGATGCCGGAGCACCCCTCGAGAATGCCGCACTGACCCAGGAACACTCGCCAAGTGCCAGCTGCCCGGGTGGCTCTGTGGCCCCGCAGATGGCAGCAGCACAAGGACTTCTTCGCAAGGATACTCGGTAACTGAGGATCATAGTGACTGCCAACATTAGTAGATTTGGAAGTTTAAGAAATCACACTTTTGAGGAACATTCTAAAGCCTTTATTTAGCATCAGGTAGATTATTTCATTATAACACTTGTTAACTTCAAGACAGCAATTAAAATAATTTACTGGCAGCTACCTAAAGCCCCTTGGAGCAAGATCTCAGTCTGGGGTTGGGTGGGTAAATATCGTTAAGACTAATGTACCCCAATTAAAGGGGCAAAGCTACTGTACAGTAGGTCTCCATACATATTTTAAGTACACAGGTGCCTTGCAAACTTGAAATGCACAAGACCTCCTTTTATATAGTTTGGTACTTATAATACATGAGTGCAACTTAATGTCTCCGGTGGCATTTGCCACAAAGTCGAAGCATTTAAAAAAGGTTTGTCATTATGTAATGATGGTGATTAGAATCTATTTCTAGGGTATTTTTGTGAATTGCTAGATTTTATACCAACGTTCAAACACCTTTTAATTCTAAGGACCTTGATTACAGAAAATTGTAAAAGTAAATTTAGAGCACTAAAAGAAATACCTTTTTCCAGTTTAATTCTTTAGAATTTTGAAATCAGGAACACTGGACTGTTCAGATAATTCTTCTTTTTGGAGGTGGGAAAGGGTAATGGAGTAATTGAAGGGGTTAGTGTGAAGAAAAGCCATCTTTTTAACGCAGTCTTTACAAAATGACATAACCTTCTCTGCATTTGAGCACATAAACATTGTATAGAAGAGTTCTAAACATTTTCAAAGTTACATCTAAAACATTCAAGCATGACGGCATAAAAATATTCAAAATAACTTGATTTGGGATTACTATAGAATTCCATAAAGCTAAAGTTAACAGTTGGGTATAAACCTTCAGTAAATATGGCAACAGCAACCATAGAAAGCATATTCTCTACACAGTTTCTCTCACCTTTATAAAATAGAATTCCAAATCAGTAAGTCTATTTGGATAGTGAAATTACCCATTTTTTTCCCTGACTTTCATCACCAGTATATCACCTTATGCCCTACTTTCGTTGGGTGAAATGCAAGTTATCTCATGAGCAGGTTTTTTCTTTTCTAAAAGATGAGTAGAAACCAAGAAAAAACTTTAAAAACATAGGTTTAAGACTTATTTTTTAAGACTTATTTGTAGATTAGCCAAACACCCTGACCCATCTGCAGTTTAATAAATGTCAGGCAGATTGAAATAGTTTCTGTCCCAGTAGCTGCCCGAGTAGAGCCAGTCCTGTGCTCCATTGTAGGGGTTGGGGCCTTGGTGGAACCACCTGTTGAGAGAGAAAGAACAAGACCGATGAGGGAACTGAAGGCACAGAGTTCCTGTGACTTCATTAGCCACCACAGCAATTGTTTCACTCTTGAGACGGGGATTTCCAAAGAGACTTGTAAAGAAGTCCTACGGTTTCTAGAGAGCACCTATGCAGAATATTCCGGAAGATGTAATGACACCACACAAAAGGCTTATGGATTTTTCCACAGCATTTGGTAATTGTACTCAATAGAAGTAGGATCTTCGGGGGGGGGGGGGGACGGGGACGGACGGATAAATCATCTTCCAGCCCCATTCCTTATTTTCCAGCAGAAGGGGTCTTTGTTTGTTTTTGGCAAGGAATTAGGATAAGGAAGCAAACTTTTACAATATACCTAAATACCCCTTAAACTCAAAGCAGGAGTGGAATGTCAGAGAAGTTACATAATTTGCTCAAGCTAGTAAATAACAGCAATCCTAAACTTGACTTTAAAGCTCACGATTAAAACCCATGATTTTTCAAATATACTATGCTCCACCTAATCCACTGAAATTACTCCTAATCTTCCTGGGTCTCCGTCTTCCCCACGCTAATATGGCTTCTTAGGCTGTACTAGCTGTTAACATCCGGGTCCGTCTTTAATCCTGCAGAGAGCTGCCTTCTTCACTGCCTTGTCCTTTAAAAATCCACCCAGTTCCCACAGTCGCAGATTCCTTCAGATAATGGCTCGCAATTAAATGTGCATATTTTCAAAGTAACATTTGTGAAAGTTTCACAGGTCTTTGCCATTCTTTCCAAATAAAATGCTTATAACATTGTTTTTAACTTTTAAAATGAGGTTAGATATGTTGGGTTAAGTCCCAAATGCTATTATCCCTACAGCAGCACAAAACACCTGAGGAGAAAAAAAATGCTTCACATCAGGCAGATTCCTTGAAGGATTACACAGTAAATGCCCATTAGACCACATTTTCTAGAATGTTAATATCTAAAGTCTCTATTTAGCTTTTGGGACTTTTTCCTAATTAGAAAAGTTAAGTCTACTTTAAATGATCAAGGTTAACCAGACTGGAAATATATTAAAAAAACCATTATTTGATCGAAGTCAGAAAATTCTAATAATATGAAATACATAGTTACACTCCTTTTGGTCTCCAAAGTCCAATCAGTAAAAGCACTTTTGCAGTTAGGGTTAGCAAAGTCAAGCACTTCAGAAAAGCAGGCAAATCAAAATCGAGGTAATGAAAACTAACTCAGACCATGTTCCGTGGGCAAGCAAAGTTCTCTAGAAACCACGTCTGCACCTGCAGGCTCGCTCTTGCAGGCCGCATGCTCATGGACAGAGTCCAAACACGGTACCAGAGATGAGCACCTCTGAGTCAATGGTCTGATGCACAGGATTAGAGTTTCCTTCAACTGCCAGTTCGCAGGTCTGGAAACCTGCTACTCTCATCACATCCCTCCCCACATAAAAAGTCTAGTTGATTTGTCTTTCTAAACTCAAACATTTGAGACAAGCATGGGTAAGAGGACAGAGGAGGGTTAAGATTTCTTTGCTATCACCTTTTACTCAATATTTTTGAGTCTATGGAGTCTGTGGGTATCAGGAAAACAGCATTCTATCAAGTATGAATTCTGCACGCCGCTTGGACCGTCGGGGAGACAACGCCGCCAACATTTTCACCTCCTTGCCTCACCCACCTCCCTTCAATCCTGTCCCCCTCATCAGCCCGTCCACTCCTTCCCCGCATCTCACATCGTAGTGAGGATTCCTCTAGGGTTCCTCGAGGAAAGTAGATCAGGATTGCAAGCAGGCATTCTCATAAGCAGGAACCATAGTTTATAGCCTGAAAAGTTCTGGAGCCTAGACTCTCTTCGAGTGAAACGTGAGCAGGAATGCCAGCTTTGAGTGTGGAGGGACTGGGGAGAGATTTTACAAGTTTCTGGGTTTGATTTCTCTAGCTAGCAGAAATTGTTCCTCTACAAGCCGCCCTGCCCCACCTCCAGCTGAACAATGCCGTTCAAACCCATCATCAGTCCTAAGAATCAAGTCAGTGAATGTGCACTCTTCTGTCCACTGAAGAAGAGCTCAGAGCACACATTCTGTTGACAAAGGGTCAGGAGGATCATTTTAAGGACACATCCATTCACCCATAAGCACTACTGATGCTAAGAGAGAGCCGTGGAAGAAAAGCCTGAAGCTGTAGCTCACAGCGCAGTGCCTGATATGATTTTCAGGCTACTGCAGAGCTGCCCAAAGCTCTCTGAATGCTAAGACTTGGACAGTAAAAATTCTTAGTGGACTTTGCACTTACATTGTACACCTGACAATGTGACCAGAAAAACCAAGGAGTTAATAATCAGAAGCAGAGTACAAAACTGGGGTTTTCTGCAAAAGAGACTAGAAATAATGATATAAATGAATCGAATCTTTTAAAAAGGTTTGCAGAGGGAGAGAGAGAACTTTGCCTGAAGGACTGATGAAGGTGGAGGCTCCAGTTGTGTGTCCTTGAGCAAGTCCCTGAAACGAACTCCATCAACGTGTCTTCTAATGAAGGGTTTTCTAGACCACTTTCAAATGGTATTCCATGGAGCTGTAGGGAGCCAGGGTGCGTACAGGGTGGGAGAACGTGAGGCCTGGCCACAGTCCTGCCTAGTTCTAATCATTATCTTTTTCTAAGATGGAAAAGGGCTGCCAAATAACATCTGCTGAAATGCTTGCAAAAGTACGCCCATATCGGCTCTACAATTTATTTAATGACTTTGAATTATGGGACAAGGATTTCTATTAAGTGATATAAATGCAGAAAATGTTTTTTCTATTCCTGTTAACAAGTGATTCTATTACTCAAGAAAGTCACTGTGAAACTCCTGACTCTGAAAACTTTCAAGACATATCAATTTTATGGCCCACTTTCTATTTCTGAATGGAATTTAAGATGTTACTTTATACAAATCCCATTTCTGTTACGTGTCAAATCCGTCCTTGTTTGGAAGAGTAAAGGCACTGTCCAGATATCCTAGATACATGATGCACGTATTAGCAAATGGCCCTGTGGATTTACTCACATACACTATAAGCAATGGCTCTGAACCTACTTTCGAGCCCATATCTGTCATTTTGGATTTTACTTTCCTTCTTATGGTAAGAAAAGGACAGGACTTTGCCAGTCATGGTAGGTAGACAGTTTCCTCAAACCACTTACCTGCAATAATGGTGTGGGAGTATTTTAACCCTAATCTCCAAACAGCCCCTTTTCCTTGGTCACACATGCAAGTCTCTCAGCTTGAATAGCTGGGGGCAACAGCTTTTCTTTCAGGCCTGGGGAAGCCTGAGCGCCCTGCCGCCCCGCCCAGCAGCACGCACGCACCTCGTCTTCCAGTCCTCCTCCGACTT